TCATGTTCTTGCCTATCCCTGTTATGTCTAGACTGAATTTGTAAATATGGCCACCAATCTATGAGTATTCTTTGTTCCTCCAATTCTTCTCTTGACTTGAGATTTCCTCGGTTATCCAGTAATTCTTTATACCTAAACATCTTTTTTTTCTCTAATGTATTGGGATGAATCACTGCCTCCATCGGCGAGAACCAATTTCACACTAGCTTTGTTATGGACTGCGGTTATAGCTCAGCCTGTGGTTATAGCTTCCCACATTTCTACTAAAACCTTACATTCCAAACCTTGGTTTGATAAGAATTATGTTCAAACCAAGACTATGGTAATTTCAGCCTGTAAAACACCCAGTGTGTCTAGGGTTGCCAGATCTGCTTCCAAAAAATAGCGGCGGACAAGCGCGGGGGGGTGGTTAAGTAGTAAAAAAAGTAGACTGTACAGCTTTAGATTACGTACCATTTCATCATAAAGCTTTTGAATAAAAAAAATAGTGAACATAATGTGAAAAAGTGGACTGTCCACTGAAATAGTGGACACCTGGCAACCCTAAGTGTGTCATGATTCTCCCTCTTGTAAAATTGTTCATTTACTTTTAAGAAAAAAAGGAATATAAAAGCTTCTGGGGAGAAAAAAAGAGCAAAATGACCAACTAGTGAAATGACAGGGCTCCAAGAAGCAATAACAAATTAGGATGATCATCTTATTCAGATAAACCTAGCTCCAGTGCCAATGATTTAATCTGTTTGGAATCCTGGATGAGATATTTTGGCAACTTAGTGTTCCTTTGGTGGTGATTCTCTTGGGTCTTCTTTATCTGATTCCTATCCCACTTGGCCTCTGGTTTGACAATCAGAAATCCAAAAACCAATTTGTCAGTTGAAAAGTGGCAAAGCTCCAGATAAAGATACGATTTTGCCAGTATTGCTGGAAATAAATCCTGACCAATTGGCGTCTGGGTTAGTCCCCATGTTTATTGCTCTTAAATAACTCTTTATTAGTTTCCAAACACTGATTTAATTCCGTCACTCTTCCAATATACCAGAAAGGCAATAGAGAAGGCAAAATCTTGCTAATTATTGCCCAATTGTAATATTGTCAATAATTACATTATCCTTGATTTTTATACCATAAATGTTTAGATTAGAATATTTTAGTTTAAGAACAAGCAGGTCTTAGTTCAGAATATTCTACCATAGATCAATGTGCGATTTTGCACATTTTAATTGAAAAATACTCCAACCCTTTATTGGTTAAAGGACAGCCTTCATGAGATACTGTGGAGGAAATTAGCTACAACCTCAAATAATTGTTGCTTTCTCAGGCTGATAATTTTATAACATGAAAATATTACAATATAGATTAGAGGCAAATGTATCAATGTGTCTGCTCAGGTACAGCGGTTAAGTCAGTATCTGTGTATTATTACAGTGCCCGTTGTACCACCTGTGACGTCTGGCATTCAGGAACCTGATTATCAAAAATGTGTTATCTCTCTGATCAAGGAATTACAGTCTTCCTTCGGCAAGACATAATCTAGATAAGCACTATAAAAGTTGCCAAGTTCTAGCAATAGCTATAGCTTGCAAAAGCAAGTTAATACTCATTATTAATGGTTTCAGGGCTTTTTTTTCATGTATTTTAAATTTTATGTGCTTTATTGTTGTTGTACCATGAATAAATGATATGATTTGATTTCCTTTGCTTGTATTTCTTTGGAACTTCTCCATTGGCTACTACTTTGTGCAGCTTACTATTTCTCCTGAATGCTATACAGTTTCCCATTCTCTTTTGTGACTAGATGGCATGATCGGAAAGAAAAAAAATAAGCTGGGTTACTGACACAACATGGAAGAACCATTCACTGTGAGTTCCTTGGTAAGGATTAATGCTTTATAATATAGGAAAACTGCTGATCAGACAGCACATCCACTGAGCTTTTTGTAGAACAAGCCTTCTATTCAAATTCAAATATGTCCTGGGATGCACTGATTCCCCAAATCTAGTAAAGATGCATCTAGGTTAGTGTCAGTTTATGGTTCATAAAGTTGTCCTTAAGTGCTATTGCTATGAAGATGCTGTTTTCAATAACTTTATGCTTTTCAGCATGAATCGTGTTTTTTTTTAAATCTTTCATGGTCATCTCCATTAAAGAATAATAGAGCAGTTCACATTGATTTTAAAAGTAGAGACCCAAAGGTTCATGGTTAAAATGCATTTGCATAAGTGTATATGAGAGAAAAGAAAAGAAAAACGGAAATGCAACACAATGGGCCTTACTTTGGTTGTATATTAGTTGCAATTAGTGTCAAAGTAATTGTGCTTTTGATGAGTGTGTGTGTGTGTGTGTGTGTGTGTGTGAATGCAGTGGAAATGTTTGTTTTAGGACAATTATTTATTTTGCAAGGATTTTGTGGAAACATAATGAAAGCTTCCTTTTAAAAGCATGGGGTGTACCTAGCTCATAATTTCATTTGCTTTTCAGAAATATTGAACATACATGAATCAAAGTCACATGTCAAAATAAAATGCAATTTGTGACCTCTGTTTTAACAGAAAAAGCTAGCAGCTATTCCTGACCACACAGATATTTCCTTGAGCCCAGAGGAGCGTGTCCGTGCCTTAAGCAAACTTGGCTGTAACATCACAATAAATGAAGACATTACACCCCGACGCTACTTTAGATCTGGAGTGGAGATGGAGCGCATGGCTTCTGTCTATCTACAAGAGGGAAATCTTGAAAATGCCTTTGTTCTCTACAATAAATTTATAACGTAAGGATCAATTTGTAAATAAATACTGTAATTTAATCTTTAGAAATTACCTTGCATTTCATTACCTTGGTACAGTACTAGCAGACCATACTGATAGGCCTGTGCAGTCCTTTAGATTCAATTTCAGAAAGGTTTTGGAGGTCAAGAGAGAGGCACTGATTTGCAACTGTCTAGAAGCAATCACATCTTTTCCCATTAGTCCTTGGCTGCTGCAGAGAGCAGCAGAGTAACCCCATGAAAAAATGCAACCGCTTGCCTAAGGTGCAAACAGGTGCTGCATTTTGTATACTCTGAAATTTTTTTCAGAAACTGAATATGAAACTTCGCATAGTCTTAATAATAACTGCTCTAAATATGGAAACTGCTAAATGATCATGAGTTAAATATTAAATAAACTGGAGATTATCATTAAAATTGTGCCTACAATCATACATACATACAAACATACATACATACATACATGCATGCATACATACATACATACATACATACATACATACATACATACATAATCCCTGGAAAAAGTTCTTTGTTCCAATGCAGTTTTATTAATTGACTGTTCAGAAGGTGTGGAAAGTCAAGCATACTACTATGCCGTGCATCTAATATTGTTGGTATTTTAGGAAAAAAATATTAGGGTGTCAACTAATGCTTGCTATATTTGAAAAAGGGAGAGGATTATGATGAAAAGAAAGGATATTTTTTGGTAAATGTAGACATGCAAAAATATCTTCTGAAAGTGGCATTGAGTATAATATACAAGCCATTTCTTTCAGAAGAATTGCACTAAAAATAGCAACACTGCACCATGATAAATAATATGATTCCAGACAATTATAAAAAGTAAAGGTTTCCTTTGTCCAGTGGTGTCCAATTCCAGGGGGCAGTGCTCATCTCCATTTCCTAGCCAAGGGAGCCAGCATTGTCCAAAGACCTTTTCTGCGGTCATGTGGCCAGCATGATTATACGCTGAGGGGCACTGAACACTATTACCTTCCCACCAAAATGGTATTATTTATCTACTTGCATTTGCATGCTTTCAAACTGCTAGGTTGGTAGGAGCTGAGGCAAAAATGGAAGCTCACCCTGTTATGTGGTGCTTGGGTCTTGAACTACCAATCTTCTGGTCACCATCACAAGACTCTTGGCTTTTGCCTTCAAGGGAGCAGTTCTTTGCATTGATGAAGCACTTCACAACTTGTATCATTAGATACAGGGGTAACACAGTGTAGCATCTCACATGGAAATGAATCTCCCATTCATTCAAGGCCTCTTCTGGTACTTCCAGTTACTGTCAGGTCGAGGTGGAAGAGGCTTCCAACCCATTCATCTTTTCCAACTGTTCAGATGGTCAAGTGAAGCTTTGGTGTGACCATTTTGCTTTTAGAAGGAGGTGGGGGTGGGGAGAGAATAGTTTCAGAGGGACACATGATATGAACTTTCATAGTAGCAAAGTATCCCTTCAAAGGTCTGAATATTCTCTTTTGGTCTTTAGCAGTGCTACTAATTTAAACTTCAAAGATACAGAAAGCTTCTGTGAATGAAAGAAGAAACAAATGTTCCTTCTAACTTCCTATGATTTATCTACTTTGCAGTTGTCTCAGTGGAAAAGCATTAGTATTGTTCATCAGACTTGCAAAGGGATAAATGTGTGTGTATTTTCTAGTTTATTTGTAGAAAAGCTGCCATGTCATCGGGACTACCAGCAATGTGCAGTTCCGGAGAAACAGGATATTATGAAGGTAGAGTGTCTTTTTTAAAAGAAATGGTCTCTAAGGCAGGGGTCCCCAACCCCTGGTCCGTGGATCAGTACCGGGCCACGGCATGTCAGTAACCAGTCTGCACATACAAGGAAAACCCCATCCACAGGATGCAGGCAGCACACAAAACCACACCCCCTCCGATCTGCGGAAAAACCTCTCTCCACGTAACTGGTCCCTGGTGCCCAAAAGGTTGGGGACCTCTGCTCTAGGGGATTTCTCCTGTCTTTTCTAAGAATGGTTAATGAAAGAAAAACCCTGACAGTAGCCTGAGGGTGTTGAATGCTCTTATTGAGTCAGTTAAGGTTCAAATTTACAAATCATAATCAGTGTTTGATTTTTTTTGATGCTAGGCTCTAGCTTGAGCAGGGTTCTTCAAACTTGGCCCTTTTATGACTTGTGGATTTCAACTCCCAGAATTCCTCAGCCAGGCATGCTGGCTGAGGAATTCTGGGAGCTGAAGTCCACAAGTCTTAAAGTTGTCAAGGTTGCAGACCCCTGCACTAGACCAAACTAGGATTAAGCTGACTATTTGGCACATGAAGCAGCAGAAGTATTTATGGGTTTATTTGTGTATGTTTGTGTGTACGTAGATGTGTATAATTGCATTTTATTTCTCTTATTTTCTCTCTAACAAAGAAACTAAAGGATATAGCATTTCCAAGGACTGATGAATTGAAGAAAGAGTTGTTAAAGAAATACAATGCAGAATACCAGGAATATATGCAAGATAAGGTACCTTTTACTTCTTAGCTATATAGATAAGTCTAAACTCTCTAATACAGGGGTGTCAAACTGCCGACCCATGGGCCAGATGCATCATGGTGAAACCGCGCCCACCCCATTGCTGGCAATGGGGAAAAAAGTCACGATATGTCGCAACACGTCACGTGATGTTGCGAGTTTGACACCCCTGCTCTAATACATTATCTGAATAGCAGTGCCAAAGCAAAATTATAATTTATGTGGTGAAAGCTGCTATAAATTAGACTGTCATCATTCATTTTGGTGTAGACAAAGTGACTGCTTTTGCCTTTAAATTGCCAGGTAATAAAGTTGATGTGGTTTTATAATCACCTTGCTGGAAAGTGTTATTAGATCTTAAAGCACAAACATCTTCCATTGAGTGTTGCTATATCAGGCCAAGCTCATAGACAAAACAGTGCAATCCAATTGAATCCAATTCTTTATTTGCTTAATCTAAGAGACAGAATCTTGCTAGACTAAAGCCATGTCTTCCAACCTAATAGATATATCTTAAGATTCTAGGGGGGCTATCCCAACCTCTTCCTACCTCCCACATGCACAGTCTCTTTATTAGGTTTCTCTCCTGAATGTACTGCCTCCTAGCTGGGAAACCATGGTGTAAGCAATCCTCATTTTAGCCATGCTGGCTGGGGCTGCTGGGGTTATCAACATCTGGAGAGTGATATTGCAACATCACTCTTCAGATGTTGATAACATCTGGAGATGTTCTTGGTAGATGCAGCAGATATTAAAGTATTCCGATCTATTATGCTTCATGTTATTTAAATGCATTGTACTTTGTCATTTGGATTAACCCTGTTTTAGCCAACAACATGTTCTTTTAATGTATTCTATTTTCCAGAACAAATGCACAGCAGAGTTACTAAAGAAACTAGAGCAACAGAAATTGATTGAGGCAGAAAAGAAGCGGATTGCACAGATCCGTCAACAGCAACTGGAAACAGAACAGTTTCATTTCTTTGAAGATCAGTTAAAAAAACAAGAATTAGCTCGTGGTCAGAAAACTAAGAATAATTCAGTTACATCAGAGCCAGCTGATGGGAACACCTTGTCATCTGTTGCACACCTGAACAATTCTTTCCCCAAAATAATAGCAAACAAGAGTGATGCTTCTGCTAGTCAATCTCCTCCAATCAGTCGGGCCTTAAAGCCAGCTGCTACCTTAAGTGCTGTTCAGAGTAAGAAAGCACACTTTTTTGTTATTGTTTACTTTCTAAGTTATTGCATGGATAGGTTTTATAAACAGTTTTTGGACATATTTACAACTATAGCAATAGCACTTAGACTTTTATACCCCTTCATAGTGCTTTACAGCCCTCTCGGTTTACAGAGTCAGCATATTGTCCCCAACAATCTGGGTCCTCATTTTACCAACCTTGGAAGGAGTTAAGCCAGTCAGAATCAAAATTCTTGGCAGTGGGCAGATGTTAGCCTGCAATACTGTTGTCACCACGGCTCTTATAATTTTTTAGTATGTTTGGCTTGCAATAAAGCAACAGAACTGCTTCAGGCACAAAAGTCTGTTTTGATCAGGATAAGTCAGATGTAAAGTCTTTAGATCAGCTGTAGTGCTGAACACTTGAATACCCACTCTTAAGCAGTGTGCACTGCTGAGTGATTTTCAGATTATGTTGTATGAGAACAGTTCATACTGTAGATTTCTGTGTAAGTGTCACTCTCACTTCTCTTTGTTAGATGCTGCTGCTGAAGGACTGCGAAATGTGGTTCTACCCAGTGATCTTTGTCACAGGTTTTTGCTGCTCGCAGATGCAAATACAGCAAGAGGAATAGAGACATGTGGCATTCTCTGTGGAAAACTGGTACAATAAAACCTTCACATTTGTATGGCAGAGGCACTTTAATGGTACTTTGGAATGAGTTTTTGTTATGACAACCTAACAGAAGTAGATATGAAGCATCGGTGTACTATGTAATAAGTGATTTTTTTTCTCTGTGAGGGTCTTTTCAAGAAATCTTACTGTGCTGCTTGCTAGGTTTGTGGCAATATTGTTGATCTTAAAGACTGAAAAGCCTGTAACTATTAAGTTATTTTCCTGCTTTTGTGCACAGCTTCCTTTTTGTGATTACATTTCTCTGGTTTTTGTGAAATTTTATTAGAAACAAAGTTATATTAAATACAATGGTTGGTATGTTATACCAGATTCTTAGGAGGAAAGTAAGAAAATATAACTTGGATATTAGCACATAGATTTTTTTTCTTTTTTTCTTTTTCTTTTGCTGTTGAATAATTTTTGTATCATTAGCAGTGAAGATGTTTCTAAACCATAACTTTCATATGAAATGCTAGCCTAGGACCTAAGGACATATATGTATCTGTATTAAAATAATTATAATCAAACTAAAGCTAAAAAGAGTTTTAAAATCCAGTGTGGAGCAACTCTATCCTATATATGTTAATATGGAGTGGAGTTCTCTAATAAGATTTCTCAAGTAAAACATTTGAAAAGTATTTTTTTATTTATATTGATAATTATAAACTAGCCTCAAACAATTTTAAGATAGCCAAGGAAAAAAATTAGCCATATATGATAAAATTATTACAAAGCCAGGTCAATGATTTTGACCACACTTTTAGAAACTTCTGAATTCTAGAAAAAAATGCCAATAATCAATGTGCTGTATCTGAGACCTTCCTGATATTTTTTCCCAAGATCAGATCAGCACCAAACCTGCTGGCATTCAGGAAGGCCACTAAAAACCTGATCAGAAAGTCTGTGAACATCTGTAACATGATGGGGTCCTCCCCATAGGAAGTGATTTTTGCTATGAAGAATGATTTTCCATGGTGTGATGGGGAATGGGAAGATTTTATTATTGTTCTTGGCTATCTGGTTTGTATTATGCTTTTTGTGTTACTGGGGAAGTTGGGATGATGGTTTTGGTACTATATAAGCCTTTTGGGTGATTGCGGACTATGTACATTCAGTAAGAAAATGTATAATAAAATTTCAGGTTGTAGGGATTTATTTAGGAGTTCTACAGAACATGCAAAACTAAACCATTTGACTCATCATTTTTATTTGGGAATATTAGTCAATATCTCAGTGAATCTTTGCCACTTAGCAAAGAGAACAATTATCTGTTATTCTTAGTAATGATTTTGTAAAAAAAACTTTCAAGCTAGGGTAAACAAATCCTTCCCAGGAATGATGTAAAAGGAAGAACAACTTCAGCAATTCAATATCTTCTACTTGTTGGTTAAAGAATCATTTGGGTCTCTAAAACTTTGGGTTGTTGGGCTGCAGTGATTTAGAATATAATGTAATAATTTCCCCCTGAAACCTCAAACTATCTTGGAGATCCTGTCATAAGCCCTGAAATTCATTTAAACCAATAGTTGACATGGTGCATTGAGTTTGAGCTTTAGTTGATGCCATGCCCAATACCATATGTGACACCGAATTGGGGACATACCTGGGCACTAGAAAAATATCCCAGTAGGAATCAATCTGTCTGTTTTAAAATTAATTTTATTTTCAGTATTTTTAACACCATTACATATCCCTAGAAGATAATGGAAACCATTAAAGCTACAAACATAAACATAATAACTCTCAAAAAATAGTCCACTGCAAACTGGGTAGGAAGGAAAGCATAGCTGTTAGTCTGTTGAAAAAGACATGTTTCTATCAGTTTATGTCCAAAGTAAAGGCTAGTTGGATCTTGGGAATAGGGAGAATGTTCCGAAGAATAAAAATTGAATAGCCTCTAGTAGTCCAAAATCCATACAGACACATTCATAAGAAGCTGTATTGCAGGCAAACTCTGTCCACAGTCTGGAGTTCAATCCTGTTGGGCTTAAGGTTGACTCAGGCTTCCATCCTTCCCAGGTCAGTAAAATGAAGTCCCAGACTGCTAGTGGCAATATGCTGACATTGTAAACCGCCCAGAGAATACTGTGAACCACTATGGAGTGGTATATAAGTCTAAGTGCTATTGCTATTGCTATTGCTAACTGTAATGCAAATCATGGCCTCAATTTTGATATTGTCAAAGATTTAATTGCCTTCTCCCAAGATGGATTCATTTGAAACCTCCAAGATTTTGAGTCATGAAAAAATTTGCACATCTCTAAACTTGTTTAATTATTCCCATTCTTTGTCATATATCTTTGTGTTGAGCTGCTTTCATAAATATCATAAATGTGGCTTTTATATACAGTCAATAACCTTATCCTTATCTGAACAGAAGGAGGCAGCAGTTCTAAATTATTCCTTAGTCCAGGAAGAGGTTGAGAATATTGCTGCTGCTTAAGATTATAGCAATACTAAAACAGCCCTACCGTGTGTCCAAAGATCAATTTTGTAATTTATAAAAAAAACTAAATGATAGCACAGACCAAATACCGAGTTTTGCACAACTTTAAATTCAATTCAAACCATTTTGAATTGGAATGCCTCATTGTGAAATGTGAAGTGCCCTAATTTGAATGGAAAAAATAGGTGTTTTGAGATTAAAACAGTACTTTAATGTGTTTTGAAGAAGTTGTGTTTTACACTCAAAATAGAATATTAATACTAAAAAAAAACCCTTCTAAGATACACAAAACAAGCCATCATATTTTTGGGGTAGCTGCTTTACATTTGAAATAGGGTATTCTGAATTCAAAAGTGTTCACCTCAAAACACTTTGTGCATTTGTACTTTGAACTATTCAGCAGCTTTTGAGACTTATATATTCTGGGAAAGAAACTGAAATTTAAATAATTATAATAAGAAAATAATAGTGTTTATTTAAAAAAAAACATCTCCCATCTCTACAAGAGAATATATGCATATCCTTTAAGAGATTTCAGCAACTTACAGTATGTTATAAATATATAAATAAGTAAGAAAGAAAGTTCTATGTTAGGCCATAAGATTTATTCTTGGAATTTCCAGGTCTAGGGCCGGTAAACTTTTGTGGTATCAATCCGTACTGAACTAGGGAATCCAATGACTAGTTTTTTTTTCTCTGAACATTTCTGTATGTAATACAAAGAGCTCCCTAGTACAGGAACCTCCAGGTTCCCTGTTTTGCCTGTTGTTTTGATGATTCTTTGGTATTGATTGGTGTAAATGAGCACAGCTCCCGCAAAATAAATGATTAAAAATTTGGTTGCTGCCATTGGTGGGATTGAAGTCCTTAAGCTATTTTCTTGGGCTTGTGTTTTACAGACTCATAATGAATTCACTATCACTCATGTAATCGTACCAAAACAATCTGCAGGACCAGACTATTGTGACATGGAGAATGTGGAAGAGCTATTCGGTGTTCAAGACCAACATGATCTTCTCACCCTGGGATGGATCCATGTAGGTAGAGATAAGTATGCTGGGATAGATAGTAGACATTCCTTGCAGCTAGAGGAAATTCCAGTATAAGATTGCGTTCTCTTTAAGTTAATGTTCAGAGCTGCATGCCATCTGGTAGTATTCTAAATCAGCTTTCTTTCTCTCACACAGACATATTTTTTGCATTTTACATACATACACAAAGACGTTTGCTTTTTTATATGCATATGTACATTCTAACACACGGCATAGATTGGATTGGGGGAATATATAAACCTTTCTTCACTCGGAAGTGTCTCCCTTGATCCAAGTATGCTTGAGAAAGTTTTATATTGAAAAGTGTTGTCCAAATAAGTTCATTTCAGAAAGAAGAGGTGAGTTGTGGGATGAGCGACAGGAGGTCAGGTTAGGAGGACGCAGTGCTTTGGATCAGGGGTCTTCAAACTTGGTCCTTTTATGACTTGTGGACTTCAACTCCCAGAATTCCTCAGCCAGTCATAAAAGAGCCAAGTTTGAAGACTCTGCTCTAGAACAAAGATTTTCCATTCCACTGCTAAAGAAACAATATTCCTAAGGCCTATTTAAATATTTTGTTTAAATAAGTTCAAATTTGGTGATTGCCTTTCTCCCTCCTTTTCCTTAAATCCCAGCCAGTTATTTTAAAGCGAGATAACTGTCTTGGAACGTAGCTTTGAGACTTGCTGATTTACGTACATCTCTATTAGTTACAACAATAATGTTGTATGGAGTCACTGTGTACGAGTGGGGTGGCTGCTTAAATTTGTTTAATAAATAAACTTGGAAAGCTCTCCTGGGTCAATACTAAAGAAAACATTTTCTGTTGTGGTGCTGGCTATTTGGAAAATCATCCTCATGGAAATTAGATTGTCCCAGCTCTATTGGCCTTTCTTAAGGCCTTGAAGACATGTTTATGTCACCATGGATGGTGGTTGGGCTATGTGGCAGACCCTGTGAGATGGTTATGCAGATGTTGATGGTGTTTTGGTTTTATCTCATCTGCCAATTATGTATTATGTATGTCATTTTAAACTTTTGATAGCTACCCAGAGACTTGTTTTGATATTATGAGAGGACAGGATGCCTACAAAATGGCCACCACCTGTGACTACTATCTCTTTAAGACCTCTTCGTAGACAACACAGCAACTGCTGGCTATAAAAGTTGAGCAGAGAGACAGCTGAGTTGGTGGTGTTTCTGAATGGGAGAGAGAGAGAAGGAGGTAGGTGTGTGAAGCTGATAGAGATACTGTCCTCAAGCAGTAGGACTTACAAGGAATAATAGTTGGAGGAGCAGTCAGAGGAGGTATAGTAGCAATGGGGAAGAGTAGAGAGCAAGGAGTACTAGCCTGCATGTGTTTGGGAGTGGACTGCCTAAGGACCTGAGGTGTTGTGTTAGCTATCTTGTATTTTGGATCTCACTGACTTGGGTATACTTAAAAGAACCTGTGACAGATGATGAAATAAATAACATTTCTTTATTATTTAATAAAAGATGGGTGCAACTAATTCTGACTTCTTTCTTTTGTATTCGTAAAATAGAACAAAAAGTCATATGCTATATAAAATGTTGCCTTTCTCTGCAGTCCCATCCTACCCAGACTGCGTTCTTATCCAGTGTTGATCTTCATACACATTGTTCTTATCAGCTGATGCTGCCAGAAGCCATTGCAATTGTTTGTTCACCAAAACATAATGAGTGAGTCTGAGCTTCCTTTTCCATCCTCAGATAACTACATTCAGATAATTGGTTTATTGTGTTATATGCTATGTCACCTGTAAAATATTCAAGAAGGCAAGGGAAAAAATATGTCAAAATACTTATTGTATGAGTTTCAATCTTTATAGATACGGTATATTTTTTAGAATCAAATTTAATTCCTGAAAGTTCTTTCTTTGTTACTTCTGTGCCCTTCCATGCTGCTCTCTGTTTTGTTAAATCTCAACAGAGTTTTATTTTTGACCCTCAGGTTCTCAAATTACTTATCTCACATTTTTAGTCTTTCAAAAAAAATAGTAGTAGTAGTTGCATAGACATAGAGGTTTAATAGAAGTCTTTCTTCTCTTCCATGGACCCCTTTATGAATTCTGCTCTGTGCTCCAACCTGTGTTATTATAGTCCAGAAACGTTTTATTAAATGGTAGTGACTCTTTTATGTTTGTGGTCTTTTCTAGTATTTTTTTATATTTATCAACATCCTTTACATTAAAAATCCCAGGGATTTACTTTTTTCATGTAACATGCAATGTGTTCAGCCTTGATTAATTAAACTAAAATTCATGTAATTATAATTATTTTGGCTGGTTTTTAAATTGTGGATTTTTAAAAAGTGGGAATTTTACCTGTCATTTTAACATTTTTACGGAAGCAATCAAAATACTGTAGACCTCTGGCCCAATATTTCAGAAATTATTTAAATCAAGTGTGATGCAATAGTGCTGTAGAAATAACCCTCTGAATTCAGAAAAAGATTATCTTTGCAAGGAAGCCTCTCAGCATAAGAAGGAATCTTATTCTGAGCATTAGGCAGTGCTTGTGTCAGGGTTTAAATTTGGTTTAATGTCAGGGTTCCAACAGACAGAGACAAAGCAGAATTCCAAGGCTTGCAAATTCCTTAAAGAACATGTTTATTGATACAAAGTATCAGCACTTTAAAAGTGAAACCATGTCTGAAGAGATGCATAATAATTCCCCAGTACAAAGTTAAGAAATCCCACCCCTAAGGCTATGCAAGCAACTATGTTTCCCCATACAGCTTGTTGGTGGGCTTTTCATGAAAAGCCCCGCCCACCGTCTCGGGAGCAGCCGATGACCTTAGTTCCCACGAGAGAAAGTCCGAGACAGAAAGTCTGTTTTGTCTAGCGCAACACCTGGCAACCCCCCTTCCTCTGTGCTATGTGTCAACTAGAAATGAGAAGGAAAAAATGGCTGCAGCCATGCTCATTCTAAAGTTGACAGCTTGGCTGTCATAATATTGTAGGAACAGCTTTATCAACAAGGTGATTCTTTATTAATGTAATTTTCAAAAAGTGACTTGAATTGTTGAATAAATGACTTCTCTCAGTACTGTATGTTTTGTCTCCATTAGCAGCCAGTTGCAAGTTTAGTTTGCAGGCAGATTCTGTGAAGCTCTTGTATTCTTTGTCCAACTGAGATCAACCTTATCTGCTATAGACAATTGTTGGGTTAGAGCTGCTTTCTTAGATGTAATATTTCTTTTGTTTTCTAGGATGGGAATCTTCAGACTTACTAATGCTGGCATGTTGGAAGTTTCTGCTTGTAAGAAGAAGGGCTTTCACCCTCATACCAAGGATCCTAGGCTATTTAATGTAAGGATAGCATGTTAATTTTTAACATTCTGTACATTCACTGCACCACTATTCAAATATGCAGGAATGTGAATGTAGTGTAAGTTAAAATCTGTCTTCTCCAATCTAGTGCATCCAGACAGTCCAATTCATATCATCAGACAGCTTGGAGAAATATCAAATTTATATTTTGGCAGAAAGATTGAAACGAATGGCACCAGGACTGAGATTAGTCCAACAATATTTAGATATGTGTTGAAGGTTGTTCATTTCATACATTAATATATTTGATCATTTGAGTAGAAAGGGGAAATTGCAAACTGGGGCAAAGTGAAACATTCCTGCAGGGAAGAGTTCTGCAAAACTGTTAAAAAAGGCAAATATTACCTCATAGACGGGTTGAAAGACACTTCCAGAGGGCCAGATACAGGATGTGGAAATTAAAGTGGGACATACTAATTTTCTATAGCTGCAGTTCCCAACCCATCACCTTCCAGATGTTTTGCACTGTTGTCTGTAGAATTCAGAGTTTGTTAACACGATAATCTGAGAGCCTTTTCTTCACTATTCATGTCTTGTTCATATTCTACATTTCTGTAAAAGTTAAAGATATACCACTCAATGTCACTCTGAGTGAGATGGATGCTTTCTAAATTTTTTAGATAAATGTCAAATCATTTGTTTAGAATTAAAATGTAAACATGTCTCTGGAAAGAGATATACTGTATTAAAAACTAACACAATGCCCCAGATTGTTGGATATGTGTGTGGGGAGAGGGATTGTCTGTTTCCATATAATAAAGATATAGATTTAATAGATACTTATCCGTTTTCAAAGTGAAATTACTCCTCTTTCTACCATAGAAACCAAGATTGGATGATAGCCATTTGTCCCATGAAACTCTTTATATTAGCCTACAAAAAAAAGTAAATTACCTTTCTTACAGATGATAAACCTTCCTACCTCCCAGCATCCTCAGGGGTTTTTATGGAGAAAGATAATCAGAAGAACTAGGTCTGTTAAATCATGGATACCACCAAACCAGATGAGCAATATGGTTAGGTTTACACTGATCAGAAATCTTGGAAGTAGATAGCGGTACCTAAGTAATGTTGGCTTTTAATATCTCAAGAAATAAACCAAGTTAGACCTTGAACAGAAAGTTTGCAGGATATTTCAGTTTATCAAGTTGCATTAAAAAAAATCCCAGAAGCCGATAAAGAAAATTATATAGATGTGTGAATGAAATCACTAGGAGTCCACCTTAACTCAAGGAAATCTTTATCTTCTCCAAAGGAAGGAATGATTGTTTGAGAATGTGTTGCAGTTGGATAGCAGCCTTAGATGAATATCCCAGTAAAATAAATCCATATTTCCCTTAAATTGTTGCAGATTTAAATTATTTAATTTTACAGCAGCTGCTTAATGACAGATAATCTAAGATTAATCTGGTGTTTCCTTTTGCAGATCTGCAAACATGTCACTGAAAAAGAGATAAAAATAACTGTGCTGGATCTGAGGTGATAAAGATAGAAGAATGCCTTCGGTAAAACATAAGGCCAAAGGAAAACAAGACTGCCAGGTTTTCCTAGTGTTTTCCAACGTACTGACATTTTATATTTGTATGTTTTGAATTTAACAATTTGATATTTATTGCCCTTTTCTCATTTTGAAGTTATTTCGTTGTATAGTCAAAATGAAGCTCACAGTGGCATTCAATCCGGGTATGTTATTTTATTGGAATAATATGACAATAAAGTGAACTCGACATAATGACAGTCTTTGACCCCTTTGCGAAATTTTTCTCTTTTCCCCCCCTCTGGAGTATATATGATTGTTTTCCTGCCCTACAGGTATTCAGGAGTGTCTAAGTGGGACATGTGAATGTTTACAGCATGTTTAAAAATACAGTAGCTATAAAATAGAATAGGAAATATGAAAGAAAGAACAGAATAGCCAACAGGAGCAAGCAGATTCTTCTGAGAAACACACAGAAAGACTGTGCTCAAATAATAAAGTGAACTATGAATGTGTGAACTCACAAACACTAATCCCTTCTATTCAACTAGCTTCAGTTCCAAACAGCTGCTACTGCATTATTAAACAGTCATTGTTGCCTCCCTATAAATTCACTGTAGAAGAAAGAATCTTAAAATAATTCTGATTTTTCTGAGTAACAAGTAGAAGTCAGAGGGCATGGAGGACTGAAAACTAGATATAACCAGAGGATTTAGAGAGGAATGGCAAACAATTCTACTTATGCATAAATTACAATGTGCCCATCTAAGTCTTAAATGTAAAAATGGCTGCTATCTTTGTGTGTTCTCCAGTGGATGATTAAAATAAGCACAAACTTCCTTTAATCATCAAGGTTCACTTTTTCCACTATCCGTAGAACTTTAATGCAAATATTGACTAGTATAATGTTGATCTGCCATGTCTCACTCTTCTTCCAAAGGAGACGGAATACTATTTACTCCAAGTAGCGTATGAAAAAGTTGAGGTTTATTAATAAAAATTCAAAGCACCTGACAAGCATGTTTACAATTCTTTCCTCCTCTGCCCCCTGAAAACTTCAAATACATCTTATTAGAAATCCAGCTAATTGAAAGAAAGGAATTTGGGGTAGGCTAATAAGAATATTTTTCACAGAAGGGGAAGCAACTCAGAAGCATTTGCGGTGAACAATGGATGGGCCAGCTTCATCATACTCTGGTTTGCTGATCCACATCTGTTGGAAGGTAGAAAGAGAAGCAAGAATAGATCCTCCAATCCAGACCGAATACTTGCGCTCAGGTGGAGCAATAATCTGAAGAAAAAAGGATTGAACAGATCTAATTAAACCACTTCGAACAGTGATATTACAAATCATGTAGACATTGTTTTTCACAGAAAGCAACCGGTAACAGAGACTTCATATCTGTATATAGTTATGTACCTAACCCAAGCAAGTGTGTTTATTCTTGATGTTGTTTCCCATCTGAGGGTGAGATTACACAAATCATTTTGGACAGAAAAATGGGCTGTGTACTCAGTTACTTTTGATTCTTGCAGAAGCTATCTACTCTGGTTGCATTTTTAAAAGCAAAGGAATTCTATGAAAATTCTGTGTGAAAATAGGAACCTTTTTCATGAGATTCACTGTGATAAAGAAACATGATAGGTACTTAAAAATGATACTGGCAAGTAAAATCCAGTCACTACTGATGTGATGAATCTCCTTATGGGAACTTTCTTTCAACATCTTCAACTCTTCAACTAAATAATTCGGATTAGGATTTAATTTATCCCAAATAAATGATTAAAAACAAAATCCCATTGATGCTTACTTTTGATTTTTAAAATATTAAGTTAAATCCAAATTTATTTCAATGTATAATTATTTATTTTCATTCAGATTCCTTTTGCTGGAGTGTTAGTGCTTTGCACTGCATTTTTTTAGTGTTTTCATTGTCTTGTATTTGATTGCCTATTGCTGCATATGGCTACTGTGAGATAAAGTCCATCTCATGCTGAAGATCCAATTTTCCCAAGGCAAAATAAGATGAAAGTATCCCAGCCAAAGAAAAGTAAAAATAATTTTAAATTATCAAATCAAATCAAACAAAAAATACATTTCTTATAGGCATTCCTAATTCAGGTGCAGAACTAAGAAAATGATTGGTTTAGGATTTTTTTTGTGCCTTCAATTCAGTAATGACTCCCAAATATTGCTGAACTGCAATTCTCAGCAATCCTATCAGCATGGCTAGTAGTGAGGATGCTCAGAGCTGCAGCTCACCAACATCTGGAACATAGCAGATTGCTCATCTCTAGGAGTCGTGACATATCATATAAACAAAGCCATCTCTGGCACTGTGAATTATGCAGTGATCACTAAAACAATACCTTTATTTTCATAGTGCTGGGAGCCAGGGCAGTGATTTCCTTTTGCATACGATCTGCAATGCCAGGATACATGGTGGTCCCACCAGATAGGACATTGTTTGCATAAAGGTCTTTTCTGATGTCTATGTCACACTTCATGATGCTGTTGTAGGTAGTTTCATGAATGCCGGCAGATTCCATGCCTGATGAGGATTTCAAAAGGAACACTTGTTACAATATTCTTAAATAAGGAATTAAACCTGTTAAATCTTTTGATTTACCACCTTCAAATGTTGAAAGTATTTATAACCTTTTACAAATATAGCAAACAGAATCAGAAATAAAATTGCATGAAAACTACAGGTAGATTTATACATTTAAGAATGCTGAGTACCAGAAATTGGCTTTTTTATAGATGTCAAAGGCAGTCCAGTAAAATGACACGGCATGATGATGGATGGATGGATGGACGGACGGACGGACGGACGGACGGACACAGACACAGACAGACACAGATGATAGATATAGATATGGTGTAGTGGTTGAGACACGAGGCTAGAAACAAACAGATTGTGAGTTCTAATCCTGCCTTATTCCCAGGAGCCAACTGGGTGATGTTGGGCCATTTTCTCTCAGTAGTAGAAACCACTTCCAAAAAACCTTGGCAAGAAAACTTCAGGGACTAGTCTAGGCAATCACCAGGGAACCAAAACTAACTCAAAGCATAACATTATGTATATATTTCAACTTACCAATGAAAGACGGTTGAAAGAGGGTCTCTGGGCAGCGGAAACGCTCATTCCCTATAGTAATCACCTGACCATCAGGCAACTCATAGCTTTTCTCTAGGGATGATGAAGAAGCAGCAGTGGCCATTTCGTTTTCAAAATCCAAGGCAACATAACAGAGTTTCTCCTTGATGTCACGGACAATTTCACGCTCAGCTGTGGATGAAATTTGAAGAAGAGATGTCTACATGAACTATTGGTCCATCAGATACAAGGAGAAATGCAGACTTGTGGCGTTTGCTGACTGAAATTGATATTTATGCTGACTGAAACCAAGCAAACTAAATCAACATTCAGCATTTTTATCATAAATATATTACCCAGCAAATGTTCTGAATTTGCCAAACATTTTTAATTTTGTTTTCCTTTAATTTGTCAAAATTAATCATTATAGATGGGCTTGTCTAACTTCAGAAACTGGTGATTTGAAAAATCAAACTTGTGCTACTATTTGGTTGCTATTGTAGCAGGGACTGCCCGAGAGTGCTTGCAGGAGCTTGACTGGGAAGGGGAAGATTGGGACAGCTGCAGTTGGCTTGGGTGTGGCTGGCGTGAGTGGAAGGAGGAAGGATAGAAAAGGGAAGAAAAGGAGAAGGCCGGGGTTGGTTGGAGTTGAGAAGGGAAGGTCTGGAAGCTTACTTTATTTTTTCTATCAAGGGTATTTTAAATAGGGGCTAGATAGAGTGAAGTTTTATTGCTTCCTCCGTGGGAGGATGTCTGAGGCGGAGGCAGGCGAGAGTGTGAAGTAAGGGAGTTGGTTGGGGTTTCCAGCCTCAGATTTTAATAATAAAGAGTAAGGGAGGGGGGTGGTTTTTGAATCCTGAAACCTGAAGAAGAATCCTAGAGAAGAAGCACCAGGAGGAGAGAGACTGGTGGTGCCAACTGTTACTGTGGACTTTGGAGGCATCTGGACTGTGGCCATCGCTGCTGGCATAGGTGCTGGGACATTGCGGGGGGAGTTGCCCTGGGGGATGAGCCATTGCCATAACATACTGGCCGTCGTTATTATTACCATCTGGTGCCGGGGTTTACCCCCCCCCCCCATTTCATCAGATTCTGAACGATTGCTCAGGGGCCTGTTACTCCTGCCGCTAAAGCAGCCCTGAGCTGTTATATACATCTTCAGAGTATCAACCACTGAGACTGGTTAAGTTCGTGCCTGAAAGTCCTGCTTCAACAAGAAGAGCCTGCCACCCATTAATGCTGCATGAGTTCCGGTTGTAAGACATCTCATCGATCTCTAAAGAACATCGCTGCAAGGCTGGACAAGGGGGGGCGTGGC